AAGAAGTGGAAGAGCTGCAGTTCTCGGATGTCTGAGAATTGAAGCAGCAGAAACGGCATCATGGAAGTAGTATTGCTCATTTTGTCCTCACTACTCACCTACCACCTGCAGAAAAAAGAAAGCAAGAGCTTTAAGTTTAGTGATATTAATTAGTCAGTTCACATCACCCTGTGGAGGTATGTTTAAGAGAGAAAATGGACAAGCGTTACCACTTTCCTGGCAATGAGAAAACATGGGGCAACAGGACCATATGAGGTGTCTTCCTGTTCTCCACTGTGAGGAGCAATGAGCCTGCTCTCAAAGCTGGCACAGGAAGACAGGGAATGGACAGAGCATGGTTGTGCTGTATCCAAGTAAAGCTGTGTGTGTGTGTAGGAGGGCGGTCAGTGGGCAAAAGGCAAAGGAGAAAATTAGAACAATCCTCTGTTCTTGTTCAGGAATGCATGTGTGTTTCATGTAAAACTGAAAACACCACTGTGGAAGAAAAAAAGAGAGAATGGATTCATGTGGGGAGAAATGGGTCATCATGACTTACTTTCCCCACTTACACGTGCTGAGTGTGAGATCGCTAATTACCATGATTACCCCTGCTGGTAATCAACTCTTGTGACCTCTGAATCTAGTGAAACTGGGAGTTTAAAAACCTTGCTGAAACACATGGTTTTCTCGAAAGATTCAGGGTGGTTTGTAAATCACCCCACACATCCATTGGCTCTGGATATAATGACATGTCAAGACATGTCAGGATGAGTAATTATGCTAATTATGTGCTTCAGGACCCCATGTTCAGGAGGGGAATTAAACCACTATAGTTTTTTTACCCCCTTTTTTCCTCCCCCCACCCCCTTTCCATGCATACCCACAATTTTGGTAATTTAGCAGCTTTATGGAGAAAGAATTAACAAGATTTTTATTAAATGAAAATTTAGTTGCCGCAATTGCCTCTTCTTCCTCCATGTAATTATGTGCTGTCTCCCTGTTTCTAAAATTTTGCTCAGTCTACAGGAATAAAGCAAGCAATGGTTCATCTGCTGCTAACAAATTGCAGGTAGTAGAGATTGAAGGATGGAAGCAGCCATTTCTACAGCCACTCTTGTCAGGGGTCTACTATTGTTTCCATTCCCACAATGGTAAAATAGTGATCTCAGGTCCTGATGCCAGAGAAGTCCCAGTGAAGCATGGAAATCTTCAAACAGACTCCTGATTCTCTCCATGGTTTCACAAAACTAATTCTATCAAAGAGCAACTCTGGAAATTGTTCTGGACAACATCCCAGACCCAAAACAGTAACATTTCATCTTGGCTTCTCCTGTGTGTGAACCTGCTCACCGAGGCCACACTGTACATGTCTAATGTAAAAACCTATAAATAAAGGCCTAGCCTAGGGTAACAGACCAATGTGAATTTAGATGAATGGATGTCACTGGCTCAGAAGGTCACTTTTCATGCCAAAGCATGTCCAGAGGATGATATCAATCCAATGTGGGTTTGTGGTCCTGTGCAAATAAACACAGAACTAGTGCAAACGTTATGGTAGCTGCTTAATCCTGCAGATCACGAGTTACACGAGGTTTCATTGCTATCATCATGCTATACTTCAATCAGTGGACCAAACTGCGAAACAAACTTGGTGACAAAATAGGGAAGGACACACAGGTTATCTCTCTAGTACTACCATCTGAACAAAGGAGCAAGTTGACTAGTAATAGTTGTGTGTAGGCATATCTCATGAGCATCTTCTATTAAGAATCCTATCACATCCTTTAAAAAATGTTATATTAAAATGCAACAATAAATTATCCTGTTCTGCTGCCACCATAAGATATGAAAACTTTTATTTACTTCGAACCCTTTACTCCTAAACTACATGGATAAAGCAAAACAGAACAGAGGTTGGTACAAGTGAAACAATGAGCTGGTGAATGATTTTCAGATCAGTTCAACTATTGGAGTATATTTACTTCAAGGTGAGGAGCCTTATAAAACACAATATTATTATTCGTTACTATATACTATTGTTCATTGAAATACATCCCTCAGAATCTACAATGGAATTCCTCTTGGTTTAAGAAGCAGATGCTGTGATAGCTAGAGTCGCATGTCCTATCCAGCCCTTAAGTATTAAAATCTTTTTGTGAACAGAAGAACTATTGAATGCACTAGGACTCTGTGTTCATTCTGAGTGCACATGCATTTGATTGTTCTGTAAGCCAAGCTCCATGCCAAGCTCCATCTTGCCAGGTTCAGAAGGATTCACTTGCACCTTTCCCTCTGGTTGAAGTTCACTGAAGTACTTCTCATTCTGCTCCCAGCAAGAGTCATCCATTTCACCAAGCAACCACTACTGATGAAGGTACACTGCCATGCACATTCTGTCTGCCTCTCTTTTTTCCCAAAAGCTTCCCCCA